TACACATACACCATCACATACACACACACCACTGCATACACATACACATACACCACCGCATACACATATACATACACATACACATACACATACACATACACCAGCACATACACATACACATGTGCCAAGAGTTTCAGATTCAAATGAAATGTTTGTGTTTTTAGAAAAAGTATAAAGATGAAGCCGAGAAGATGCTTTCTAACTATTCTCCTGTAGCCGACACTCCTGAAATCCAGAGAATCAAGACAACTCAACAAAACATTAGCTCCGTGAGTAGTCCTTTTTTGGGTTCTCATTTGCCCCTTGGCATTTATGATTTGTAAAAGGAATTCTTTTTCTTCAGTTTAGTTCTTTACACGAATAGGAAGGCTAAGTCTTCTTATAAGTTACCATTTATCATGATTAGGTTGAAACTACTAACTTGTTTTTCTATTAGTATCCAAAACAGTTATTTTCAAATGAATTTTACAATTGCTCTCAGGAAAGAGTTATAACCTGCTAACTCAGATTTCACCTTGAAGTTGACAGTAGTTGTGTGAAGTAGTTTCCTTGCTGATTACAGATTTCTTTTTGCACTGATTATGAATTTTCAAGTTCATAACCAATTCTTAAACTTTCATAGTTGTCTTTCAAAGAATTGGAATTTTGTCAGCACCTTTAATTAAGAGATTGGTTCTACCCTTCATGGATATACAGTTTCAAAAGATTGTCACCGTTGACCACACAGATAATATTTTAGTATGGAATTAGCTCAGTCGTTGAGTCATTGACCAAGTTCCTCGTCATAAGTTAGTCTGTTAGATTTGAGGACTTCAGCAATATTTCTCAAAATTATCAGTAAGCCCCTGTCCTCAGGGAATAGGGTTAAGTATGTTAGTGTTTACGCAGGGAGAGCCAGGCTGTGGTGAGAAGTGAAGTCTTGCTGGGAGGACCAGGAGGCTGTTTTGCCCTTTACTTCTGGAACTCTGTAGGACGAGGTATTTCAGATTTCTGGCTTCTGAGGGACACGTCTCACTTGGGACACAGTGATTTAACCAGATGTCAAGAGAGGATGTAGTTCTGTCTTCACCTGCTTTTCTTGGCGTTCTTTTGTTTTCCTGTTGAGGGCTCTTGCTTTTTGCTTTGATTTGCATCTGGAAGGGGAGGGGGAGAGACCTGTGGGAAGGTTAAGGATTAGTGGGAGATGAGGAAACGACACTAATGATGTTGACGATGGAGCTAATGGTTTTCTTTGAAGAGGACAGGGAACATCTTGTTTGGGGAGGGACAGTTACTTAAAAATTCATGCTGTTTCTGATTAAGTAACAGCCGCTTAGTGAGCTTTTCTAACGTGTGCTTTGATTTTTCGTTAATACACATGTGGCATGTTTTCATGTTTGAAGAAGTAATCGCATTATAAATTTGCCAATTTATGTTCTCAGAGCAAACAATCTCTCATGAAGCAATGTGGTTCCTTAAAGACTACAGGATATAGAACCATGGTTGGAAATTTATTTTCATAGTGGATTATTTAATTGATTACTAAATTATAATGGTACTCAAAAATAGAAGCTACTAATCACGTGGCTATAAAGTTGCTTTTCTTTCATTAGAGTTCGTCCTAGGACTTGGACTTCAAATACCCTACAGTTATGTCTTTCCTTCCCTTATAATAAAGGTCTTTTATAAAAAAGAAGTAGGAGCTGGCACTGCAGTCAAAGATACCCCAGAGATTGAACGAGTGAAGAAAAATCAGCAGAATATCAGTTCAGTAAGTTCTCTGCAGCATTAATTATACTTTCTAAAAGCCAACATAAGCCAGACAAATGCTGTTTGTTCTTGACTAACCTGGCTTCGTTTTACTTTTATTTTTCACTCTATTGAAATGCTATTTCATCAACTATCAAAGGTCTTACTTGCTGAATGAACATGGTAGTCTGTTCCCCTGGAAACTACAGCAGTGTTTCATTTTGATAGATCATAGTGTGTAGAGATAGATCATTTTAATAGGATAGTAATGATATCTATGATTAGGTTTCATTTCTTTGAACAGAGTTTTTGCTCTATTACATTTTTCTGAGAAAAGGATACAGTGCAGTACTTCTCTACAGGTTGGAGGAAAGAAATTTTGCCCTGATAGAATGATGAAAGACTGTAGGATGTACACTTGGTGCCATAGTGAAGGTTTATATTTTAAAAAGAAAATAGCCTGGTTATTTTTACCCCATATCAGTCACTCTTCTGAGCTCTCTTTCTGAGATACATTTTTCCTTGTGCTTCTATTCTCCAGCTCCATTTATCTTCTGCTTTTCCCAGTTTCCAGCAAAGAAAAACTACTTTCCCTATCATAATACCATTTGTAAAGTACTTGCTTGCCCTGGTTGCCTCTCAGGAGCCCTGGTGGCAGGACAGTTAAGCACTCAGTAATGAGCCAGAAGGTCAGTTGTTCAAACCTATGGGGTAGCTCCTTGGGGGAAAGACCTAGTGACCTGCTTGCATTAAGTTCCAGCCTGGAAATACCTCTGGGGCAGTTTCACTCTGGGTTACCTGGCAGCAGCAACAATCACTTTTTGGGTTGGGATGGGTAGGAGAGAGGAGTTACTCAATGTTATGATAAGAATTCTTTCATTGGATGCTTAACATTACCTGTTTTGGGATCATTGCTACTCCAACAAATAGACATTATTCCATGGATATTTAGTATTTTTTTGCATTTCAGTGACCAGTGGTTATCAATGTATATTGATTGCATGTTTGACCAATTTCTGACTGAAGACGTTGGTAGGATTCTTCAGTTTCTTCATCATTAGTGTTTGTTGTTGGTGCCTAATTTTGAATAATAATTGTATTGGAGGCAGTTTCTCAAAGGCAGATGGATACAATCCTATCACAGATAGTATTGCACTACCTGTAACACTGTAAAAGTGTAACAGATGCTTGTATAATATTTGTATAACATGTGTATAATAGTATGTAACACGATAACATTGTACAAGATTGATTTTGCGATGTCCTTTTTGACAGTGATTGCAACGCTATTCCTCTTGATTGGCCATTCCCACAAAGCCAGTTCTATGATTTTCTGATTCAAAAAGCCAATGCCAATTCATTTCAGCTCACTAATGCCCGAGATATTGAGGACACCGAGCACCACCACCACCACCAAGTGTTTAGTATCTTTAATTTCTTACTGAGGAAATGAACAGGGCTCTTTTCATAACCCCTTCCCTGAGCCATCTCCTCATCTTCCCCATTGGGGGCAGGACCTTCAAGAACCTTTCTGGAAGTCATCCAAGCGGAACAGTCTTGATGAGACCCGCATGTGCGTGGCTGTGATCATTAACCGGCATCCTAAGGATAGGAGAGTGCACTGGTATTTGTAGAGATGGAAGAGGAAAGGCAATACTGTAGCCAAACAGGCTTCCAAATGGATTGCCAGTGACCACAAACCATGCAGCATACTAGTGCAAACAGAGCTCCATAGCACGAGTGAGACTGCTTCATGAGGAAAGCATCAGGCGGAAGATGGAGAGGCTCAAGACCTGGATGAGGGCCAACGACTGTGTCCTGGTCCTCGCGAGTGAAAGCTTGTCTCAGACAATGACACATAAATCCAGTCAAGAAATGAGCTTGGGATGCAAGTATAGACGGTTTGTTTTCTTTGTTTTCCGATGATACGATTGGAATGCACTCGCCAGTGGACTGTGGTCTAATGTAATAAACGTCCTGTAGGGTGCAATTCTCTGGCCCAGAGTGAAATGACTCTGCCAATTTGATTAGCTTAGAGTCATCTGAGAAACAGACATGCTCATCTTGAATCATGTTGAGCTTCTCATCCGAGGAAAATCACACAAAGCAGCCTATACATAACTTCTCCTCCCAGCGTCCGCTGCCTCTTCCAGCAAACAATAAATGTGTGGTCCTGTCTGTCTAGGAGGCTGTGCCGCAAACTTCTGCTTAGTATTCAAATGGAAAGTTGCCCTTTCAAGATTAGCTAGATCTGTCAAACCCAGATATGAGTCTCTAACATTTAAAGATCTCGACATTTTCCACCTCCAGAGTACAAGCCTTTTAGATATTAGCTTTCTCAGTTAAGAACTACTTCTTGAATTTAATTTAGAGTTAGCCCATCACACAAAACTCTCCATTTAACTCTTTTAGACCTGGAATAATGATTATTTATGTTAAATTCACAGGTACTAAGACACAGGGGATATCTAGGAACTGTTTAAGACATTAAACAACTATTAGCTTATGCCAGCATGGGCAATAAACTCAATAGTAATTGACTGAGTTCTAACACATCTATTTTCGTAGATTTATATTTCTGCTAAATTAAGACACGCCTTCTGGGACTAACCATTGATCCCTTATGTATAACAATATATAAAATGCCCTTTTCCTCCGACCCAGTCTTGCATGAGTTTTTGTCAGTGGTGTGAGCGGCTCCCCTGGCTCGTGGCAGCCCCATGTGTCATGGAGTTAAAATCACTTCATAGGAACCATCAAGTCAGCTCCACATCACAGCAGTGCCATGTGCAACCTAACAATACACTTCTCAGTCCTGTGGTTCTATGCCCCGTGCACACATGCTATGTTCTAATGCAGTATCGAGGCATCTCGTCAAGGATGTTTCCTTTTACCAAGCATTTCTTGGCCCCGATCTTCATGAGAGTAGATTTCAGGCCTTTCTTCCATGGCACATGTGTCTTAAGCGGATTAAAATCCTACCACAAGTTTACAGAGCCATGTCTTTAACTCATGCCTGACACTAGCCATGTAGCTAGTTGATCTTCCTGGAATGAGATTTGAAAAGAAGAGGCTTTCGAGTGAAGTAGATGCCGGGATATGGGTGAGCCTTTTGAGAACTGGTTGTGTGGATAGAAGACAGTTCCTAACTTTATAACACTGATCCTTCTTTTATTAATTAAGATGGAAGGGCTATGCCTTTCATACATTTTCCCCTACCTTCCTTCTATTTTTTAATTTTTAAAACTTTTCTTGCAATTACGTTATTATTTTCCTTATTCTGGATTAGTGTGTTCCTCGCCAGAGAGCAATGTCCCCAAGACTATAGCTAGTTTCATTAGGCTTTGGCCTTTAATTACTCAGCATTTTTTAATGATCATCTCACTACACGGAAACTGCCTTTTTGGAGTAGAAATCAAAACTTATTATATTATTTAAAATAATTTCCAGAGTTTCTTGTACAGCTGTTAAATGAGAACATTTATTTTCGTAAGCAAGGTCTACTCATTTTTATTAAAGATCCCTATCTTGATAGATAGGTGACTAGATACAGTGTGTTTGGGGGATTTTTTTGCACTTTAGGATCAAGGAATCCTGAGAGGATCAGATACCATTAGAAAAAAAACTGTGTTTCCAGTGAAGGAAAATTAATGCTCAAATAAAAAATTCAATTGTGCAATTGTTTTACATTAAGAATCTCCATTCAGTTATTAAGACCTTATGTATAATGGAACTGACATCGTCGTACCGATTAGACAAGTGAACTACAATGAAGAGATTAAAGAGGCAGCAGCCATTTCTGATGCTCAGGAGCTACAAAGAGTTAAAGGAAACCAAAGGAATATCAGTACTATGTGATCGCCTTACTTGAACGAGGTTTTATTTTATTTCATCGAATGACCATGTGTAATGAGGAAATGACACACGGACAAGTGAAATCCCAAGCCAACGATGTCAGTGCGCACGAGGCAGTTCTTGAGAGGGCATGAGAACAGCTTAAGCACTTGCATGGCCGTCAGTGCACCTGGACCCTTGCCTTGTGTGCTTTCGCGGGTTACACGAGCCCTTCACTGAGTGCTTACTCTATCCCAGTTCTTGGAACTCAGGGATGAGTGAGATACACCTGAAGGTTGGGGGCCGTGGGAATTTTCATTGCTTCTAGCAGAAACACACATGGTAATCAGTAACCATTTTGCATTATCTTAAGTGCTGCCACAATGCATACCTACTGAATGTTCACTGTGCTGTTAAGTTACTTTACATGCGATATCTCGTTTAATAATAAGTAAGAACACCTAAGGCACCGTGTGGTGGAAATGCAGACAAAGGAGATGATGTCTCTGGGTTCAGAGAAAAGTCTCGGAGAAATGGTCTCCTGGGAGTCAGAGCTTGAAGAGTTGATAAGGTTTAGGGCAGATGAAGGAGCCCTGGTGGCATAGTGATAACATGTTGATGTGCTAACGGTCAGGTCAGCAGTTCGAAACCATCAGTGTGTTATGGGGAAAAGACAGCACTTTCTACTCCCATAAAGAGTGAACAGTCTCAGCAACATCCAGAGGCAATTCAACCCTGCATTGTAGGGTTGCTATGAGTTGGCATCAGCCCATAGTGAGTGAGTTGAGTGAGTTGAAATGAGGAAGGGCCCTTCTGGCAGAGTAGGGCAAATGCGTTCAGGGCTTAGGTCTCTCGAGAAAGATAGGTTTAGTGGAAGGATTCTCGTTAGTCGCTCTCGGTTCGGTTTCCACTCATGTGCAGCAACACTGCTCCATAGTAGTTGCAATCCCTTTCAGAAGCCGATCCCCAGCCTTGCCTTCTGGGCGTTTCTGGGGGAGTCTGAACCACCAACCTCCAACCTGGGTAGCAAGTGGCAGGGGATGATGGTGGACAGCGAGTGGTGAGACCCCTTAGAAAGAAGCAGTGTGGAGGCAGTATGGGCTCGGACATACCAGTCATCGTGGACGTGGTGCCAGACAGGGCCCTGCTTTGTTCTATTATATTGAAGGTTGTCCTTCTTGAGACCTGCCTAGACAGTAACTGACAGTAGCCACATCAGAAGAGCAACAGAACGACAGAGCTTGTCTCAGTGCCCCATAGCATGACTCTTGTGCCATTATGGAGTTCAAGACGTTAGATCAGTTAGTGATGACATTGCTTTCCTGTGGGCTTTCTTTTAAAGGAAGTGTCACTGGCTTCCAACACATGGGGGGTGAGGGGGTCATCATAATCCTTGAAAGTAAGTTTCCTTGAAAAGAAGAGCTGATATAATGAAAAATTACTAGTAAGAATAACAGCCATGGTGATATCTTGCATATAGGAAATGGTCTGCAAGTGCTGGAAATTTGGGTAACACTGGAACAGTGGGAAAGAGGTGGACCCCGAGGCCTGTTGGTTAGATCCCAGCTATTGGTCATAATTAAAAAAAATCATTTTACTGGGGGCTTGTACAACTCATCACAATCCATCCATCCATCCATCCATTGTGTCAAGCACATTTGTATATTTGTTGCCATCATCATTCTCAAAACATTTGCTTTCTACTTGAGCCCTTGGTATCAGCTCCTTATTTTCTCCCTCCCTCCCTGTCCCCCTCCCTCATGAACCCTTGATAATTTAGAAATTATTATTTTGTCATATCTTACACTGTCCGACGTCTCCCTTCACCCACTTTTCTGTTGTCCGTCCCCCAGGGAGGAGGTTATATGTAGATCCTTGTCATCGGTTCCCCCTTTCCACCCCACCCTCCCTCCCCCTTCCTGGTATCTCCACTCTCCCCACTGGTCCTGAGGGATCGTCCGTCCAACATTTCCATTGTTTCTGGTGCCTCTTAGTTTGGTCCTAATTTTTGTAGCTGGTCAAACACCAGCTACTCCGAGCTTCAATTCCCTCATTTTTAAGACAGCTTAGAAATTAAAGGAGTAAATGACGTGGAAGGCATTTAGCATGTTTATGAACGACACATGCAGAAAAGGAAGCGTCTGTACATTAAATTTAGGGTTACAAATGTACATCCACTCGCCATTGGTCACAATCATTTTTTTTCTACATCAATAATGCTGTTCACCAGAGCTTTCTCCTCTGGTCTCTCCCGAGAATTGTCATGTAATATGTCTTGCTATCGTGAAGATAGCATGGAAACTTCCCTCACTTTAACTCAGCCGTTCCCAACACAAGAGTCTGTTTCCACCCTCACACCCCTTACCAGGACGCAAAGCCACCCAGCGAGGGAAGCGTCGTACTGGAAGGTGCCCTCACCCTTTCTCGTTTACTTTCCAGGCGCATCAGAAGTCATTTGCAAGTTCTCCAAGGTGACTCTGTAGCTCAAGTGCCTTTCTTCTCAGGCCCCATAGGCCTTGTGATTTCTCGGTGGTAGTGGGGGGGGGGTTCCCCTCACACTAAATTTAAGCTCCCCAAATCATTAAGAATGCCCCAGGGGGTTTCTTATAATGATGTTTTAACCTTCAGCGCTACTTTCACCTGTAAAAAGAAATCCATTCTGGTGGCATGCCACTCTGCGTCTCTGTGTTCCGGGCTCATTTATTCCCTGAGGCAACCATGGAGCCACCCGGGAAGCAGCGAACAAATGACAGCGTTCCCTTCACCCAGCCGAGACTGAGCACCTTCCTGCACTGCGTCAGGAACATTCCCATCCGCTAGGTCACAAGGCAGGGCATCCCATGCTGCAATTTGGTAGAGAAAGGACCTTTGAAGTTCAGGGCTTCTTGTTAAAGTGACCATGTAACTAATGGACCGACGGTGGATGTATGTGACCTTTCTTTACAACGCTAAGAGAATACAATGATAAGAGAATGCATTTTTAAAACACGAAACGGTGAAGCTTATGAAGGTTGCTTTACTGCTGTGAAGAAATGAATTCACAGAAGGAATGATTCATTACTGTGAAGCCCAAACCCGGGAAGCCAACAATAAATAGGAGGAGACTACAAAAAATTGGGGTGGGGGGAATGGAATGAAAGTATAAGAATAAAAATATAAACCTTCCTTCTCGGCGTATGTTCCATCGAGGTGAAGACTCTTGTAATCAATGACCCTAGCCTCTTAGCCGCTTCCAAAAGAGCGGAGGCCTGGCGATGCATCGCTTTTACACCATCAGCGGAAGAAAAATGAGCAGCCTTTAGAGATTTTTTTTTTTTTTAAGATTAAGGAATGAAACGAAGGCCAAACCCAAACCCAACTCACTGCCAAGTTGATGCTGACTCACAGTGACCCTCTAAGGACAGGGTAGAACCGCCCTGGGGCGCTCCCAGACGGTAGCTGTTTGGGGGAGTCGAACGTCCCGTCTGCATACCGAGGAACGGCTGCTGTTTTTGAACCGATGACCTTGCAGAGCAGCCCAGTTTGTAAGCAGGAGCCACCAGGGCTCCTTACAAAAAGAAGGCAGAAGGAGCTAAATCAGGGCACAGAGGGGACACATTCTGCTTTTCCGTTGAACCTCTTGAAGACTCGTGAGCCGGAGAGGTGTGATCAGGAAAACGGCTGTGAGGAAGGCATCCCTGGGGGGACTTTCCTGGACATTTTTCTGTAAACTTGGGTTAATTTTCTCAAAATCATCGCCTGACAGGCCGCTGTTCTCAAGCCCTTCACAACATCAATAAGCCAAATGCCCCAAGCCTCCTAAAACACGATGGCCAGGACTTTACTCTAGGCCATCCATCCCCTGCTTACTCTAAGCGGACCACTTCCACGTCCCGGGACCGTGCTGCTTCGTCCGCAAGGTCATCCTGAAAGAGCCCTGTCTGGTCTTCTGCTACCACGCCTGAACAACTGCTTCAATATCTTGATCTCACGTGTTTAACTTTTCGATAGAAAGTTCTGCTCAGACCTGCAGCTGAAGGGGATGCGATGGTTTCAGTATCCGTTGAGGGAAAGGAGGGTCTACTTTAATTGGTCAGGCAAAATTGGGTAAACTGAGCCAAGCGCTGTGTGTCTGGGTTGGATGCTGTTTCTGCTGTTAATCGTGGATCCAGTTCAGTGAGGGCACAAACAAGACTTTTTTGGTTTCCTTGAAAAGTGGTGTGGGTGGTCTGCTCCATCTTCAACATCATCTTGTTACTTCTTCCAAGGCGTGCACATATGGAAACTGCTGATGTCTTTGGGGTATTGTCCCCATAAACTTTTCTTAAAGCACCAGTGAGCGATTTCACAGTTCTTCCCCCGGCAGCTTCACGAGGAATATGATAAACATTAAACAACGCTTCTATTTTAAGAGAATTTAAAAGTTTGTACATGTTGATGCTAGTGAAAATATTTTGAAACCCACACACAGATTTTTTAAAAAAACGAGTGCACATTTTCCATGATCTGGTTGGAGACTCTTCATTGACAGGTGGGCGACTGTCAACCAAATGTGTTGTTTAAAATAGCTGGAAAAGAAAAAGCATCTAAGCTGAGCACAGGGAGAGGTTGCAGTCTATTCGCAATGTGTATTTGAGTGTACATCCTGGTGATAGCTTTAACCAAGGCATGCTCGCGTGGCTTTTCTGGGTTTGGTCTTTGTGTGTTGTAGACATTCATTTCCCTTCCTTACAAATGCTCTCATGCCTTGTCTCCCAGCTGCAGTACAAAGAGCCATGCCACAGAGCAACTCCAGTAAGTATGACGCCCGAGATAGAAAGGGTCCGCAAGAACCAGGAGCAGCTGAGTCCGGCAAGTTGTTTCTGTTTATAATTTTCTCCTCTCCTCTCCTCTCCCCTCCAGTCCCCTCCCCTCCTATCACTTCCCTTGACTTTATTCCAACTCATAGTGCAAACCCTATAGTGTAGAGTAGAACTACTCCTGTGTTTTTCTAAGACTTTAAATATTGATGGGAGTAGATCTAAGAGTGGCTGGTGGGATTGAACCACTGAACTTATGGTTAGCAGCGTAACAGATAACTCACTATGCTCCCTGGGCTCGTGTACCTTGGTATGCCATACTATCCCATACCAGTAGTATAGTGTAGTACAGTGTAGTAAAGTAAAATAACGTAGTATAATTTACATAGCATAGTACATTCTTTCAAATGCTCCCTGTAAAGCATTAAACCCTCTGTGTGCTTGGCTGTTCCTTTTTAATGTAGACACATCCAAGGGCATGAACTGTGGTCTTCTCACAGGAGGCCAGTAAATGTGTTACTGTGTGGATGGAATTGGTCAGAAAGTCTCCCTAACACATCTTCCATCTGCCAGTCACAGAGCTGGACATGACCCAGTTCCTGATTTTAGGGACCTCACCATCTCATTGATGAATACTTGCAAGTCCACCCAGGTGAGGCCCTGAAGAGGAACAGGGCGGTTGTCAATCCGACAGCAGGCGGCCCCAGGGCAGGGGACCTTCTAAACAAAATGGAACGCATTATTCAGTTCTCCTATAATGGATTGATCATAAAAACAATAATAATAATTTTGAAAACCCATTGCCATCAAGTCAATTCTGACTCAGTCAGAATTTAATCATGACGGGGCACCTCACACTGTCTGCAGGAACTCCAAGTGCACTGAGGGTTCAGGTACTTGGCTCTTTACCGAGAAGCTGACAGTCTGAGTCCATCCAGAGGGACTGTGGTGATCGCTGGCTGTCAAATCAGCCACTGACACAAAAGGCGTCCTCATGAGTCCAAATTGACATCTCAGCAACGGTTCAGCTAGATCTTGTAGCATATGCTTTATGTGAACCCACGCGGCCAGCATTGCTCATTTCTCAGTTTTTCAAATGTGAGAAACTAGGACTTGGGAAGTCACAAGACTTCCCTACGGACCATGGCTGGTAAAAGCAGAGAGGGGATTTGAATTCAGGCCTTCTGGAATCTAGGAATTCTTTGCACAAGTGGATTCAGATAATCACTGTCTCTCCTCCCACCCCTATTTTCTGATCTTTTTATAGACTGTCTACATCTATATAATAGCCTCTTCTTCTAAAATTAGTAATTTTGAGAGACAGCCCCATTTAAAAGTGAATTCTCCTAAGAGGGAGCAGAAATCCAGGTTTAACACAGCTTTGTCTTCCTACTATCACTGGAAGGCAGTAGGTGGGAGTCAGGAATCTGTGGCTTCTTTCCAATCTTGGACATCCCTGGGTCAGAACAAGAGGAGTGGCCTTTGGAGGCAGCCATACCGACCCTCGTCATTTCCTTTCATGGCTTCATTCTGGAGTTTTCTTTTACTATGAGCTCCTTGGTATGCCCATTCCTTTTATCTGTGGACATTGTTGTTGGTTTTGACCTTGAACAGCAAAGTGATCATTGGAAACTCCTTATTTAAGAAGCACAGCCCACGCGTTGTGTTTGCTGTGCTGGAGGTTGGGGGGCCCGGGGGTCCACAGTTGAGAGCAGGGTGCTCACCATCAGTAGGCTGACCCAGAACAGCTGTGGGGAAAAGAGCTGATCCAGGTGCCTTAGTCTGAGGCTGCTTCTCTGTGATGTCGCTGGGGTTCATTCTGCTCTCTGAACATTCTTGCTTCTCGTCCACAGGTGAAATACAAAGGAGAGATTAAACAGGCGACTGCCATTTCGGATCCACCTGAGCTGAAGAGAGTTAAAGAGAACCAGAGGAATATCAGCAATGTGCGAGCTTCTTCTTGAACCGCTTTCCTTATAATTCGCAAGCAGATTGTCTGCAAGAACAAAGGGTGTCAAAAAGTTCATGGAAAAATGGAATTAATGAATGATGGGATTTCCCCAGGAACTTTTTTTTTTGAAGTCCCCTTGAATTTACAACATTTTTGTAACTTCCTGTCAATATCCTGTTCTCCAATGACTGAGTTACTTTGAAAGGTTCAGGATCTGAGGTGTCATGCATACAGTCAGCTGGTTCCCACATCATTGTTCTCAGTGGAACACACCTATGATTTCCTGTTAGCAGGTAGAGGCATCCCTGCCTCTTGTCTTCAGAGAGCAGCCCTGGGCGCCTTCTCATAGTTACGCCTGGAGCGGCTAACCATAAGGCAAGCAGTTTGAAATCAGCCACTGCTCCAAGGGAGAAAGATGGGGCTTTTGACTCCCATAAAGATTTACAGTCTAGGAAATGCACAGAACAGATCTACTCTGTCTTGTGGGGTCAGTATGAGTTGCAGTGGGCTCTGGGGCAGGGGGACTTTGTCTTCATGGCTGCAGTTGCTACCCTTCTCCAAAAACAGTAGTCTTTTTTTTTTTCCTCTTTAAAATCATTTTATTGGGGGCTCGTAAAACTCTTACTATAACCCATCCATCCATCCATCCATTGTGTCAAACACATCTGTACATTTGTTGCCATCATCATTTTCAAAACATTTTCATTCTACTTGAGCCCTTGGTATCAGCTCATTTCCCCCCTCCCTTTCCCACCCTCCCTCCCTCCCAAACCCTTGATAATTTATAAATTATTATTATTTTTTTTTCATGTCTTACCCTGTTCGATGTCTCCCTTCACCCACTTTTCTGTTGTCCATCCCCGAGGGAAGGGGTTATAGGTAGATCATTGTGATTAGTTCCCCCTCCCCCACCCTCCCTGTCCCCTCCTGGTATCGCTACTCTCAATATTGGCCCTGAGGGGTTTATCCGCCCTGGATTCCCTGTGTTTCCAGCTTTTATCTGTACCAGTGTACATCCTCTGGTCTAGCCAGATTTGTAAGGCAGACTTGGGGTCATGATAGTGTGGGGGGAGGAAGCATTCAAGAACCAGAGGACAGTTGCTTGTTTCATCTCCTCCCCGAGAGCCTTCTGAAAGGGGGTGCCTAGTTGGCAGGGTCTCCATTCTGCTCTTCCCCTCATCACCATGATAGGATTATTTGTTCTTTGATGCCTGATACCTGATCCCATCGACACCTCATGATCACACAGGCTGGTGTGCTTCTTCCATGTGGACTTTGTTGCTTCTCAGCTGGATGGCTGCTTGTTTATCTTCAAGCCCCAAAGTTGTCTTGCCTGGCATCTTGCCCTTCCTTGCAAACAGGCTTTTCTCCTCTTTCCTACCGGTGTGTATTCTTGTTCCTAGCCTCCCTTCATTCCCTCCCAGCTATTATTACTGTATTTTGGGATGATGTCCAAGGAGAAATGATTAAGTATGCATGGCTGAGTAAATCATAAGGGACAAACCCACTTAAGGAGCACTTGATAAGAGGGGGGCAGTTGTTTTTTTTCTACATAGCCACCAACTCCTGGCCTGTTCTAATTTCCCTCTGTTTCTGTAATCCACAGATGTAGCTCACGGTGAGAATCCTTTTTGAAGTCATTAACATATAGATTGGGTTCTTCGGAAGAAGAAATTTGGAAATCTATTAAGTTGAACGAAATCTTTTATTTGTCAAGCCTTTAAAAGCATTTGACCAGATGATGAAGTAAAAGCAAGTTATTGTTTGATACTTTCTCTCACAATTGTGATTTGGAGACAGAGATGAGCATCTTTTCCCGATATATTTTGGGTCACACTCGACATGACCCCATTACTCACAAAAAGGCAAGGTGGAGATTGGGAAGGAGGGATGGAGTAGTGAGACGCATGCTGCGCCCACCCCACCTAACCATGGTAACCTATTTTTAAATGAATCCTTAACAAAAGTTTTAGCATATTTAATTACTAGATAACACTATAGAACTGTGACAATCTATGAGCAGGAGTGCCTTGAAGTGCAGTCCCCGGAGAAGGACATCGTACTTGGTAATGTGGAGGGGCAGCGAAGTCAGGGAAGGCCTTCAACGGGATGGATTGACACTGTGGCTGCATCCGTGGGCTCTGACGCAGGGACAGCTGTGAGCATGGTGCAGGACAGTGGAGCAGCTCCTCCTTTAGTGCATAAGATCACTCTGGGTTGGGGCTAACTCGATGAGACCTAACTACCCCAACACCCCCTTTATGTAATACCCACAGAGCCATTTCCTATTAGAATTCTTCCCAAGGAGAGCTGTGATGTAATGGCTTGGGTGCCTCCAACAGTGAAGCACTCAGTCACTAACTGAAAGGTTAGCGACTAGTGGAACCCACCAGAAGAGGCTTTCAAGAAACACCTGGTCATCTCCTCCCAACAATTAACCACCATTGAAAACCGTCTGTGCAGGTCTCCTCTGAAACACCAGTGGGAGCCAGGACTCGGAATTGACTCGGTGGTGGCTGGAACAGCAAGAGCTTTATTGAGGATGTATTTATATGTGAAGGCATGCCGACCAGCTGGTGGGAAAATTGCATTATCTTTGAATTCCATTTTTCTGTGAACCTTTTGACGTAGCCTCGTATTTGAGCATGTTCACGGCCATTTTTGTACCTTTATCATTTGTATACATTCTATGGAGTGAGTTGACACAGATGGACTTAAGATCCAAGCATTTGTTTTGTATGGCTAGACCCCTCCCGCCTCCCCCCAGTATTTCTTCCTTGACTCACTCCTTAAGCAAATGCTGTAAGACCGGTGTTTTGTCGGATGATACATGTGTTCTCCCCTGTGTCCCCTTACGTGACAGGTTCATTACAAAGGTCAGCTGGGCGCAGCCACTGCCCTAAGTGTCACCCCTGAAATGGAACGGGTCAAGAAGAACCAAGAGAACATTAGCTCGGCAAGTTCTTCCACCTGCCTGTCTGTCTGTTGTTTTCTTGTTTCTTTTCCTTTTAGACGTTTCCGGATAAAACTTGGACTATACAAAGAATGCATCCTTTATTATCGATCCATAGTTCTGTTTTTTTCCCTTGTACTAGTAAAATTCATTCTCCGGAAACATTTGTAATGTGCTATTTTATAAGCCCTCCCCTAGCCAACCACCATGGAAGTTTACACTGTTCTGAAACCTTTCATTGATGTGGTCAGATGTTACCAACGGTGACATTGAGAGTTTCGTTTAAGAGTTTTTCATGTTCGTTTAAACGCAGATTCTTTTGGTCAATGTCTTTGACAGTGATAAAGGCTCTGATGTTTAAGTTCAAAAATTATCCTTTGCCTGAGGTGTTAAATGTTCTTGTTGTTAAGTGCCATTGAGCTGATTCTGATGCATAGCCACCCCACATGACAGAGGAGAGTGGCCCCGCAGGGTTGTTCTGGGCTGTCATCTTTATTGGAGAAGATGGCCCGGCCTTTCTGTAGCAGAGCCTCTGGGCATGTTGGTTTGAACCTCTACCATCTGGGTTAGCAGCCAAGCACTCAATGCTCTGCTCTCTGCAAAACAAAATAAGAAATTGGTCATTGTTCAAAAGTAAGGATCTTCCAATGCATGGCTTAGGGGAAAAGTCTTTAAAGATACTTAATGCACAATTCAGCTAGTCATTAGAGCCCCAAGGTGCCTATCGGTTGAGAGTCTTATTTTGATGGGATTCTATGCTAGTGAGTACCAGGGCTTCCACTGTGAGTGGTATGTACGCCCTCAGGTCTGTAATCATTGGTATCCTAATCTCCTACCTAATCAGCTTCACCAAATAATTATGTTCTGATGGCCAATTATCAAGAGCAGGAGCACAGCTTTATAGCAACCCTTGAAGAGCTCTCTGTCTGGGGATCAGTTTAAGGCCATCACCATTTCCAGCTCTCTCATGGCCCGTCTGTTTCGAGAGCTGAGTGTATTTGATGAAAGTGATCCTTGAGCTGTGGTTGCTTAGTGGAAATCACTTGATTTGTTCCTCGTTGTTTCTTACTTCCCAAGGAGGGAAGCTTGATGTTGACATGGAACACTACGTACTGGTCACAATGTTAGTGGGTACTGGCAACTTTCATATCTGTTTCCATTTGGGTGGCAGATTTAGGTTACTGTTGCTGTAGCCGTTAATGGAGACCTTTGAGAGTAACTTAGGCTCTGGTGGTAGTACAAGGAGTCCCTGGATAGTGGAAGTGGTTAACGTCATTTGGCTAAGACTTGAAAGATCGGAGGTTCCAATCCTCCCAGAGTTGATTCAAAAGGACAGCCTGGTGATCTAATTCCGAATAATCATCCCCCCAAAGTCCATGGAGCTCAGCTACGCTCCAACACCCCTGCGGTCCCTATGCATCAGAATCAGCCCAAACAAGTTAGCAAGGATAAACCCCACTCTCCCTCCACGATCTTAGACATCTTGAAAAAGCTCTATATTCCAATTACCTTGTTTTGAACATGTTCTACTATTTACTTTGCAGGTCAAATACACCCAAGATCATAAGCAGACAAAAGGTAGACCCAGTCTGGTTTTAGATACACCTGGTCTGAGGCAAGCTAGAGAAGCGCAAAACCATATTTCAATGGTAGGGCCCAAGCAGATCATCCTTCACGTGACTAAAACCTACTAAGGAATGGCCCTGCCCACCGCACCGCTGCATCGCTATTAATCTGGATGACTAACAAACATGGAGTCATGGGGCGGGGCGCTCATCATGTATGGAAATAATGAGTTTAATAAAGCGATTTTTTCTCTGTGAGTTTTGCAGTGTGTTTTTATTTCTAATGTGACCATCGTGAGTGCAATTTGTGAAAGACATGTGCCCGCACTTCTTCCCAATTGAATTGTACGATGGTTTGGTGTGTTTGCATGTTGTAAGGAACATGAAAAAAAAAAAGTGTTTTTAACAACGTTACTGAGATATAATTTACTTACCATAAAGTTTACTTACTGAAAGCATGTAATCCAATGATGTTGAGGATATTTGCTGAATTGAGTACTATTCATCCTAATCTAATTTCAAAGCATGAAATGTGATTGTTTCAGGATCATTTCTAAATTAACACCATTTACTGGATATAAATCTATATATAATAATACTTTTATTATATATTAAATATTACTAGGTAAAACATTTACAGTGTACTATATTTTAGTAAGTAATTAGGGATTTTAAAAATTGTATTTTTAAAACTTTTGATGGATTTATATGTTTACATATGAGGGGGTACCCCCGAAAACTGGAATGTTTTTCAAAGCTATTTATGTAATTATTATTATTTTTTTTTACAAAACAACCGTATCACCTTCAAAGTACTCTCCATTCCACTTATACATTTGTCAAATCTGTGATTCCATTCTTGGAAACATTTTTCAAACTCATCTGTTTGGTTTTTTTCTTCACCTCTTCTACAGCATCAAACCGCTGTCCTTTCATGCCCCTCTCCATTCGCAGAAACAAAATGAAGTCGCATAGAGTGAGGTCAGGTGAGTAAGGTGTGTGGAGCCAGAGAGGCATGCTGTTTTTTTGCCAAAAACTGACACACTGAGATGGCTGCATGACCAGGTGCACTGCCATGGTAGTAAAACTAGTCCCCTGTCTGCCACAAATCAGGCCTTTTTTGCCGCACACAGTTATGCAATCTTTTCAGAACCTCTAAATAGAAAGCGTGATTAACAGTCTGACTTGGTGGAATGAACTCCAAGTGCACCATCCCCCTCACACCAAAAAACCAAATGAACATTGTCTTGATCTTTGATTTCACTTGATGAGCTTTTTTTGGGCCAGGTGACAGTGGCATTTTCCGCTGGCTTGATTGATGTTTGCTTTCAAGGTCACAAGAATAGCACCAAGTCTCATCACCAGTAATGACCTTGGGGAAAAATCTGGGTCATTCTGGAGCTGCTCTTTCAAAGCTGTTCTTTCAAAGGCATGTTTCCACTCGACGCTCTTTTTCCTGGTCGTTCAGAACTTGAGGCACAATTTTTGCAGCGACTCTTCTCATTCCCAAATCTTCCATTAATAGTCACTGAACTGAGCTCCAAGACAGTCCAGATAACTTCCCCATCTCTTCAATCATCCACTGTTGGTCTTCAAGCCCAAGTGCACGAATATTGTTGACATTTTTGCCCATTCGGGAAGTTGATGGAACTCCAGAATGTGGTTTGTCGTCAATTAACATTTCGCCTTTTTTGACATGAGAAAAACACTCTTACACTTGAGTTTTTCCCATAGTGCTCTCCTTAAAAGCTGGGTTCAACATCACAGCAGTTTCTGTGGCATTTTTCCTGAGTAGGAACCCAAATTTCACAGCCAGGCACAGTGTTCTCTTAAATCAGCCATCACAAAAAATGAGGTTTGAGCAAAACTGCTTTATAAAAAAATTCACGTACTAGTGAGAACCTTCCCTGGTGATGCCACTGGGTGCACAAAGAGTTAATTGCTCAATGCTCACTCAGTGGGAAAACTGTACTGGCAAACCTTTGCCCAGCGAAGCTTTTTTCTGTTTGTTTGTTGTTGTTTTTTTTTGGGGGGGTGCCCCCTCATATAATTTAAAATAGGCTCTTAGAAACTGTAAAAAATTACCATGATGATTAAGAACATTGTGAAAATATCAGCATTTGATTTCGGATACAAGGAAGCTAGAGTTTCTGACATTATGCTTTCCAAAGTGAGAGATTATGGAATTAGGCGGCCACCGCCCTACTCTTATTTTAGAGCATGAAGACAAGTAGGAAGTTTGGGTCTGAGTCAATATTGTTCTTCCTTTTCCAGGTAAAGTATCACGAAGATTTTGAGAAGACGAAAGGAAGGGGCTTCACGCCTGTGGTGGATGACCCTGTGACCGAGCGAGTGCGGAGGAACACCCAGGTGGTCAGTGATGCTGCCTACAAGGGCGTCCACCCTCACATCGTGGAGATGGACAGGAGACCTGGCATCATCGTGGGTAAGCCCTTCTTGTCACCCAGGTGACGTCAAGAAGACTAAGTTGGCCCTCGCTTTAGGATTAGCACCGTTGTTCATTGGACTCCTCTTCAATGCTTAGTGGTGGTGTCTCATTCAGATTGGACCACCATTACTGTGTGGTTGTGTGTAACAGGTTCAAAGGGATGCGTGGTACTCACCAGGCATCATTGCCTAGTGTACATTCTTGCCCTTCCTAGTGTTATGATCTCATGAACGTTCTCACTTGGAGCCAGCTGACCTGTCAGATATCCGTGGTCACATCACAGCTGACTTATCAGACATCTGTGATCTGAGAGTGTAACTCTCTGTGGGAATGGGAAGTTCCAGCTGTCTCCCTTAGAGTTGCTGGCGGTTTTGAACTGCTGACTTGTCAGTTAGCAGCCCAATGTGTAACCACTACCCCAGGGCTCCATCAGTGGTTGAATAATCATAGTGGTTAAATAATTATTTTGATTTCCTTTAGTTCCTGTTCATAATATGATTGTATGGCAGAAATTGCGTGCACAGGTGACAGAAATCACCATCTTATATTTAGGCCTTTTCACCATGCGTAGACTTGCCAGAGAGATTCTGATGATACTCTACGATATGAAGATTATTTCTGAAGTGGAATTCTTGAGCGTTTTCTGAATAACCCCTCAGTTAGAGAGCAGTCTCCAGTCTTAGTATCTGTAAGTTCCTTATACTCAGCCATTGGGAATCTCAGGAGGAGAATGGTGAATGCTGGCTAGGCTGTCCGCCAGGATAATACTGAATGTTAAAAAGGGATTTCACATAGGACTAGAGAGGACCACGACTGATTTTTCAATATATGGTCAAGAATTCATGCTTCCAAATGAGTGTTGTCTTCCTCCGAGAAATGAACTGTGGAGATTTCAGTAGCTAGTTCACTTCAAGAGGATTGTGGTAACCATGGTGTCTGCCTTTTCGTTATCTCTGTGCCAGCGTATGTTCACCTGGAAAGGCAGGAAGCTGTTTCGTTGTTCATAGTGAAAGGTCATGTAGAGGTGAGTTGGGTGAGGGTACCCTGTAATGGAAAAACCAGGGTACTGATATCAAGGCACTAAGTTACTGAGATGCTTCCTCGAGAGACTGTGGAAGTATTTTTTAAAGAAGGATTCCAAAGATATTTGTAAGCCACTGGTCACTGTGCTGCTCTTCCCAAGGTAATTGCTTAAAAAGACCACATTAAGTTGGATGGATGAGTTGTGAAGTTTTCACTGAAAGTAGCGCAGAATTAGAGTTCCACTGCGTTGTACTACTGTCTCACAAGTGGGAGTGCAAAGATTTCCAGGAGGGGGGATCTGCTGAAGTCTGTCTAGCTTACCCTAAATTAGTTGTCTAACTTTGGCCACATTACTTAATCTTTGTGTACCTCCATTTCTTCATCTGTTAAGTGGGGATAATAATAGCACCCACTTCAATATTTTAGGGAATTTAAATGAGTTATATTATGACTTCCGATGATGTCTGGCATTGGTAAACTCTGTGCTAGTGATTCAAAACAGATAAGCCAACACCTAGTTTGGTTTTGCACCTGCTCAGCCTGTGCCACGTCTCCATCACTAGGTCCTTACGTTCCAGTCCTTGGCACAGCACCACAGAAATTATTTTAGGATCTGATAGCCATTCCTTAGAGAAACCAGTACCTTTATCATGTATGAGATTTAGATTTTGCCTCCCATTGTAAAAAGCAGAATAAATGGGGTTGCACCGTTTGGTCATTAATGTTAGCTGTGAACGAATTTGCACTCCTTTGAGAGCAGAGAGCCACTCGAATTCCTCTTTCTTCACCTTACTGAGGAGCCCTGCTGGTGTAGTGGGGGAGGCAATGGGCAGCTAACCACAAGGTCAGCCATTTGAAACCACCAGCTGCTGTTCAGGAGAAAAGTGAGGCTTTCTACTCCTGCAAAGATTTACGGTCTCGGAAACACCAAGACAGCTCAGCTCTGTCCTTTAGGGTCACGGTGAATTGCGATCGACTCAATGGCAGTGAGTGCTCCCTTATTGCTGGCTCCATACTTTGCTCATAGGCCTTTCCCGGTAAATGTACCTTCTGTGGGTTAGCTTTTCACTCACGGACGGAGCCACTAGACGCAGAATGAAAACTGAGCTGCCTGCATCTCAGGTACTGGTTTCTATCACAGAAGGTTCTTTTGGTCTTCCCAGACGAAGACTTCTCAGTTGTTGTTGTGAATTGCTCAAATGCTGGAATCAGGCATTTTCATCAGACATTCTGCTTCAGTGGGTAGGGAACAAGAGTGACTTGGGGCTGAGGCGACACTGTGGAAGTGACACAGACTCGTCCCATGTGCACTTGTGCTAGCGGTCAAGTCATAGCATGCCCACAAGGCTCCAATTAAAGGTCAATGAAGGACAACCCAGGCAATTGAAATCTCATTCTGAGGCTTTCTCAACAGATGCCTGTGAGAAGAAGTATCCTTTTTCATCCTCCTCTGAGATCTGCAGCCCTGGTTTGCTCATACATTCACTTTGTGCCTGCGTAGCTTTCTAGACTTTTGCTTGACTGTCTTTGATGCTGGCTCTTAAAAAGAATTTGTTCTTGACTTGTTGATTTCTTTCTTTTGATAAAAGACCTCAAAGTTTGGCGTACAGACCCTGGCTCCATCTTCGACATTGATCCCCTGGAAGATAATATTCAGTCTAGAAGTCTACATATGCTCTCTGGTATTGCCTGCATTTCGAGTTTCTATGGTCTACATGGTTTTGTCCTCGAAGTGGACTTTAGAGGTTCCTTGTGCCAAATGTATAAAGTACATTTTCCAGTCGAGAATTTGAAAAACTAAAAAAAAAAGTGTTACACTACTTTAAAGTGCCATTAATCATTTATGAAAAGGAAATTTGTAAAAGGACTTTTTATATATTTGAGATTAGTTTGTCCTAGATTCATTTATAAAGGTGTCTAGGGCTTACTTATAACTGCTTTTCATTAGTGAACATGATTTGATAGGGTTTCTGGATTTACGCATGCAGTTATTTTGACTGCACCAAATTGCTGGGACCTAAAAGATTTGTGTTTTGTGAAATACAGCGTTACATTTTAAAGGTAGATTCAAAGAATTATATACAAAACAGTAGCGTTTTCTACTTAGCATTATCGTTGTCTTTCAATAGACTTTGAAGTATTCTAAGATGCACCAATGAATTCTTATCTATTGCAAAAGGAATAAATAGTATAGATAGGATGATTATTTGACTTTTAACATAGACTGAATGTTTATAATGAAAGGCAAAAGAAAATTTTTAAAAAAAAGAATGGCTTGACATTTCAGCCATGAAGACCATGCTTAGAAAACAAAAGCTTTATCAGTTATGTACTTATTTGAAGTCATCTAAATCTAATCAGGGTCAGCCCCACCCCCTGATTTCTACCCTTGATTGATTGACATTAATCAAATTGAAAGCCCACGGCAAACTACGGATGCTAATACTTTTTTAATTAATTTGATGAACCACACTGTGCCATTTAATTGTATTAAAATAAGCATAGACAAAGCAGCAGAGACTGTACAGTTGGCGAGACCGCAAAGCGCTTATTTGAGTTTATGTTTAATAGAAACAAATTCACCTATGTTTCCTTAGTTCTTAGGAAAACGAATCCATCGCCTGCTTCCTATTTTCCTTTAAAACCTAACTTTAAAATGTGTCTGGCTGCTCTTTACGTCATGCATGGGTTGGTGCCGGTTAGCTGGAGTTTGGGAATAGGTGACTGGAATGTTGTAGGAACTGAGGTTTGTGGGGAGCCTTTCATTATGGGATTGTTTTGTCTCCATTGTTAAGCCTTAAATAACTGCTTTCTCCTCCTCAAGCCATCTGATCACAAACGTGAATGTTTTCCTTCCGATCTAGAAAAGGCGAGTCACTACAGGCGACACCAGTCTCGCTCTCAGTCCAGCAGCACGTTGGGTACAGGTCTGGGCGAGGACAAGTCAGAACTGTCCGAGACATACCCTAGCTTTTCATGCTGCAGTGAGGTCACACGACCGTCCGATGAAGGAGGTATCAAACGTCAACGGGTTCTCAGGAATGTGAATGCATTTTCACATGTGGCTCCAGTGTGCCTAACACAGTCTTCACTTTTGCACCAACATTTGGTCTGGATGTATTTTACTGTTGAATGTTTTAAATTAAGTTTAAAAACGTATGAGGGTTCATTAAAAAAATACTAATTTGCATTTGTGCATGCCTTCCTGCCTTGTTTTACTTCATTACTATTACTGCAAATAGCTAGATTGGGAATGGCAATGGGGGCTCGGCGACTTGCTACCTGGGTGTGTCTCATGAGCAGGGGGCTCATAGCCCTTATGGGTCCTTGGGGACTGTGCACATGTTTTTTACTGTTTCTGCAGAGAAGAGGTGGCTATGAACATGCATTTGTTTAAATATTGAACTACATCTAGAGTCAGGGTTAGAGCTGGCCAAAAAGGAATTGAGTGATTACTTGGGTTATGAAAGTTTTCAAAATGGGAAATACTATCAATGGTTAACAATCTTATCTATATTTTATATACACCTCTTTCCTTATTTTCTGCATACCAGATGGTGGGCGTAGGTCTGGAACTGTGGGGTACATTTTTCCGGAGGTCGAGAGATGTCAGATAAAGCTCTTGTTAACGGCTGAAACTTACGCTGTTGTTCTTTCCCGTGGCAGTGACAGTTAGAGGCCCCGGGGAGGAGAAGAGAAGATAGAAGTGAAAAGGGAATACTGATTTTTTTTTTTTCATTAATGGTAGAAGACAGATTACTGAAATTTCTAAGACAGGATATTTTGGGGTTTATTAATTAACACCTCAAGACACAAAGTACTGTGATTGAGCGTATCAGTGACCCAATGAACGCTCTTGCAATCATATTTTTTTTAATCATTAAAATAAAACACTAAAAAAAAAACAACACTGAGAAAATAATTAATTACATCTTATACTTGTAAAAGAGTGAATTCAGACTCGCTTGATTGAAAGCTTGTGAAAGAATTATGCTTTGTTGTGGATATTATATACGTGAGACCCTGCCCTCATCTGTTTGATTTTTCAGCAAAGACAGTAACCTTTTATTTTTTTCTTCTATTTTTTTTTAACTCAGAGCTATCGATTTCTCCATTAGTGTCCATAGTGGTCCTAGAGATACGGGATCATCTTCATATCCGATGGCCAAAGTAAAGAACACATCTGGCCAGCCCTATTTACCTTCCCTCGGTTCAGGGTGCTGGAGCTGATGTCTCCCAACCTTTTCCCCTCCCGCCCAAAGGCAGTGTCCTCTAGAGATTTACCCTAGCCATGGCCCTTTTACTCCATTCCTGCACCTTACTGCCACAGTCATTCATTACTTATCAAATGTCTACTGACTGTACCCGTGGTGCATCAGGCAGGAGCTTGGATCTGGGCAATGTAGATGGCAGGGAGTGAGGAAATGAGATGTGTTCTCTGTAAGGGGCCTCGAGTCTGCTGGAAACCCTGGCCCTGAACATAGTTAGACAAAGTAATATCGAATTATGAAGAGAGTGAGTTATGAGGGGAGGGAATGGGAGCTGCAAGATGTGTCACTTGGGAATTCCATCTGATCTTGGGGCCAGGAGAGGCTTCCACAAGAAAGGGGCGTTCAAGCTGAGATGTGCCTCCAGGGGGCGGGGGCAATGATCAGATGGTGATTTCCCACAGATTTTCTGAAGCCTGTGTGCGAGGTGGAAGCTAACTAGGTCCAGGAGATTTCTAGAAAATGTTTCTGACAGAGGGAACAGACACTGGAATGGCCACGGAGACATCCTGGGGACTGTCAGAGACGCGGAGCTCGAGGGGAATCCCGCAGCAGGTCTTGGGTGAGAGAGGAGAATTTGGGGACTCCTGCAGTTTGGGGGGCCTCCTTTTGCACCAGCCGCCTAGGGCCAGGTTTGTTGGTGTCTCCTTCCACTCTCCTTGCTCAGGCAGCATTAGAAAACCCACCCCTTGTCTGTCCCTTGTCTCCTCTCCAGCCACACCTCCTTCTCCCATCCCACCCCCCAATTATTTCTAAAGACAACCTTAACTTTGCCAAATGCAATGAGAACATATCTCCAAAGAGATGGTATCTATAGCATCCTTGCACGTATGTGATAAGTTGAGTATGAGTAACACTGGTCAGGGAGGAATGATTCTTTTTCTTTCTCTTTACTGGTTTCTTTCTTTCTCTTTAAATGGGGGAACTTTAAAGTTCCATAGAAGATGACAAGATTTGGGGGAGGAAGCCCAGCCTCGGTGTTTCAAAGACTGCCTTGTAAGAAAAAGCTGAGATTTGGGTCCATTTGCAGGGGTCGTTCAGTCATGGTCACCTGCATTTGGCTACATTCCCTTTTAAAAAATAGATATTGAGCTATGAAGCAGAAATAATTAAAGAGACACTCATAGATTTTTGTAACAGGTGCCTGTGGCACTATTTGCACAAGCTATCTGGTACTAGTTTGAAAAGATTCCAGATACATACATGCACTCATTTAACTTATTGTAAGTGAAATAAAACATTCTACCAATGGTCACCTTATGTCTTATGTCTGCATCCAAAGCATCTGTGACCTATCAAACCTAATATGTTCAAAACCACCGTACACTCCTTA